TCATTACCAGTTGCATTTGTTTAGCAATAAATACACATTCAATGAAGTAACTGACTTATGACATTTGTCACTGTTGTCATATGCAAGTCTGATATGCATCTCGTTTGTAGAACGGACCGCTCAATTTATACTGTATCGCAAAACACGTAGATTGAAAAAATAAATTCATTTAACTTTATGTTGTTCTGCTTTCAACTTGTGATAGATTGATTAACGTGATCTAAAGGAAACAAAAATGAGATGCAGGCAGCGAATGCAGTTCCGACATTGATTGATAAATGAAAGTTTATTTTCTGTGAGGAGCTTGAGCTAAAACATGCACGTCCGAAGGTGATTAACTCAATGATGCAAAAGAAGAACTTTTCGCTTCGAGTAACAAATTTCATGAGAACAAAATTAAATTTGCTGATGCGCTAACGCCCGAAAATTTCTGGCAGTGGACAATAAAGTCAGTTATTTTCATGCTGATTTGTGTAGACAATATTTCTGTATTATATATTTTAGTTATGTCGAATGATATCGATAATTGACCGATCGTTCTGCCTTTATTTTTGCGAAAGCTCACAGTGAATTGGAGAATTGAATAACCTTATGAAAATGGAAGGATCAAAGTATACAAATGCTGGCTGATAATCTGAATGATTACTTGGAGGTAATGGACTATTGTTTTCGTGATTAACCGTAGTAAGCAATAATTAAATTGATGTCTTGGAAATAAATATTACACAAAATATTTTGTTTCGAACATTCAGCAGCGACGTTTGAATAGTTAGCTTCTGTGAAGAAAGATGAATATGAAAACATTCGCAAGCACTTCAGTATAGCAGCTAATTCTGGTAAGAAAATAAGACTTTGATTTGTTATACAAATTGATCAATATTCACAAATTACTGACAGCTCAGCCAATACCAATTTATGAATTTCTTCGGGCAATTTGGTACCTTATTTTAGTTCGTTGATATTTAAGAAATGGTTAATCACGATAGCACTCCACCATCTCAAGTAAATTATGTCACTGCATGTATATTGATTTACTTGGACGAAGTCATAAAAAAGCTTCATTAAAGAATACGAGCGAATTTCGTCTTAGTACGGAAACTTATAAATGCTGTCTTTAAAAGGGAAAGAGCGATATTGTGATATTTATCACACAGAATTGGCAAAGAATATTAAAACCTGAATATTAATGCGAACAAACACTTTTTGAAATGTACGTATTATGCATTTAAGGCAGGCATTTTAGGTTCAAATCTAGTAAAATAAATATAACATGTGAGCCTTTGTGTTTTTAATTTAAGTTATTTCGAGTGCTCTGCTAACGTTGGATCTCATTCATAACGTAGATTGCTCACGAATTGTTATAAATAAGTTTGTTGAATCGAATTATAATAATTTATTTTTTCTAATGCGAAACAAATTACAAAAACTTCCGGCCTCTCAAACATTTTTTCGTAATCTCCGAATAAGATCACGTGATGAATACATGACGCATCTCTCTCACGAATCACCTTGAACGCTACATATTAGGTGTTCTATCCTAACAAGTTTTATCGCGCGTCCTTAACATTGACAACCAACAAGTCTCAAGGATCTTGGATACTGCAAGAAATTATCTAAAAACTAGAAACTGAATGGCCACCTTAGGCAGAAACACTTGATTGCTGTCTCGCAGCCATGCTTCGAACTATTCGAATTTCTCAGAGATATTCATTGATTGGCTTCTATAGAGCTAAGATTGATGTACGCCTCCTCTTGACAAAATTGATTTTTTTAATTCACACAATATTTTCCATGAAGCTAAGTATAGCGCAATGACAGTTTTCAGTCTCTGAAGGAAAAAGTTTCTGCATTTGGCTTTGATGCGATCTTTTACTAGAATTCGAAATCGGTACAGTGCTATAATTTTAATCTCAGAGTATGGTTATTATTATTAGCGAGCTAAAATCATTAGCACAAGTTACAATTAGAAATCTGTGAAGTGAAGTCAATCATTCCAGAAACATACAATTTATTGTTTGATAATAGTCAAAGATTTATCCAAGATCCTATGATATATAAAAATAGAATCAAAAGATACATCAGCAACCAATGTTTGTCAATACATTTGGTCGTTGATCAGCAAACAACATTTGATCTGATGATTGGTGCAAAAAGTTTGAAAGTTTAAACTATATAATTAGTGCTCAATTTGGAATTATTTGAATGTTTTTCTCAATTTTTAATTGGTATGATTACATTCATAGGTCACTATGGAATCGTGATTACTTAATATTCCAGACGATTGGTTTCTCTGAATTGTAATCGAAAGAATTAGGGAAACAAAATAATTCTTGGCATCAGTACTTGATGGAAGAGTTTATTTTTATATTCGTAGAATATTGATCTCATGGTGCTGTGACAATTGATGCTCAAGTTTATTTACAGTCAACCACAAGACTCTTCTTCACTAGCTGGGACGCTCCGTCAAGGGTTGGATCACTTTGACGTCGGTGATGATGTCTGTAATTTATGACATAGCACTTTACGCAGCTTTCTGTTGATTGAAAGGATTTAGTGCGTAATTCAATGTGTTCGTGAAACATGCGATGTGATGCAACATTAAAGCTGTCGCCAAATATTACTAATCTTATTTTACCATGTGCATGAATACTGAATAAACTCAGCATGCGCATGAATACTACCAATCTTTTGAATCATCTCCTGTCCTCCAAAATAGCAACCTAATGCAGCAGTTGGTGAATCCCTTGGGGGATTTAATAAAAATTTTATTTAGATAATGATGAAATTTTATCAATGAGCGAGTGCGAATTTCTGGCCACTGCTTGGGCTGCAGTCTCGGCGCTCTCGGCGGCAGTCGTGATATCTGGGATGATGCACATGTCAAAGTCGGTATCTACAATGGCTCCTTGAATTGTATTCCTTATAACTTTATAATACCTTGAATAGTATTGTGCAAATAGCTGGAAATGGCGAAAACACTCGATGCATAATAATTTTCATTTGATTATTTGAAATTCGGATACTCTCTCAAAATTTATGCATTTTTAATTACCTCCTTAGTTCGCTATTCCAAACTCATTGTTAAGATGTACGACTACCAATCTTAATCTATTAATTGGTAATGTACGAATGAATACCCAATCTTAATCTATTCATTGGAAATGTACGAATTTATACCCAATCTTAATCTATTCATTGGAAATGTACGAATGAATTCCAAATCTCAATATATTCATTGGTAATGTACGAAGGAAAACCCAATCCTAATCTACTAATTGGAAATGTGCGAATTTATACCCAATCTTAATCTGTTTATTGGAAATGTACGAATGAATTCCCAATCTCAATATATTCATTGGTAAAATACGAGTGAATCCCAAATATTGAGGGTTGATGCATGGAGTCATGCGCAATGCAAGCCACACCAAGCTGACCAGGCTTGTAAATGCTGGGCTCTCAAGCCTTCAATTTGCCGTCCCTTCTCGGTGGTATTCAATAAATTCTTGGCATACGCCGGCCGCTGGTTTAATCAAATTTTCATGGGATTAGCCGTCATTGATCACTGCTACCAGGCTACGAGGGCGAGGATTTGAAGGTCGGGAATTTCTCGTCGGGACTACGCAACTCAAGAGCATTTTTGACCTTCATATTTTCATTGGGACATCGTTGAGAAACACTAACCCTGCAAGAATTTGAAGCCTCTTGTGCCAAAATGTTTGATTGGATGACTCCATTAGGTCTATTGAGGAGCTGCCTCTTGTCTGCTGACAATAGGTGCCAGCGAAAAAGTTTTGACTTGTTGGCCAAAATCAACGGAGCGTGGTTCTTCCTGCACCGTTGAGACGCTCGTCACAGCATTAGACTCGGCCTTAGGAAGGGATTTGCGGCGCACGTCTCGCTTGCTGTTTATTCCTTTAATTTTTTTGAAGTTTCAAGTCAAAGATTGGGATAATCAAAATTTTTTTCTCGTTATTTATTCTGCCGGTCAGGGATAAATTTAGAATAAAGGAATGAGCCATTAATGTCTTGAAGGTTCATTGAAAGTTTGGTCCAGCTAAATTCACTTAAGTTTATATTAGAAACATGATTTACTGTGCATCTCTATTTAATATCTAAAATCATAAGCTGTATTCCAATTTATATATTTGGATTTAAGTCCTCGAATATTTAAAAACCAACTTTCTCAACATATATCGTTATCTTGTCGTGAGGCTGCTCCCTAAGGTAGGCTGCATGTAATCAAAAATTTGTTCCAGCCTAAACCCTCGAAATACTTGAAATATCTCAATCTTTTCCGTGTTTTGTTGTGTAAAAGCCACATTCTTCTCGCAGTTCAGTATTTGTACGAAAAATTATGTCAAAAACAGAAGTAATCACGAACTGTAAACTATGATCTTACGCCTTAAATTTTTTGAACGATCAACTAAAATCAAATATCGCAATATTTGAAATGTGTTTTATATAGATGGATGAAATAAATTGCCACATTATCAAATACATTATCAGTAAGGACCAAATCCATGATACATTAGATGTGACCCAACAATTATTTGACCATGGAATTTTCGCCCCCAATTGTCCGCGATTCTAATAAAATCCTAAGAAAAGAAAAGCCACGATGCGACAGAGACCACAGCGCCTATACTTTCAAAAAAGTTAGAGTAAGTAAGTTCATCAGCCAATCATTGATGGCCTTTCAACCAAAATCCACCAATCATAGACAAGAAAATAGAGCGTAACTCCTTACGTTCTCTTAGCGAGTTTTGAAAGTATGGCTCCTGGATCCTAATGTTACTGAGCCGCTAGTGAAGCTACGAAGAGTGGGTGCCGGCATCGTGACGACCTCGTGATGTTCACGTGTGATACCTCCTCCAAGTGATGTTCTCTGGCCTTGTAGACAGAATACCGATGAATCCATAAATCCAAACCTGCACAAGCTGCCCCGGGATAGTGGACCTTTCTTCGAACACTCAACTGGATCGAACTTACCATAGAGGCCAGGTCTTCATTCAGTGCAGGTAAGCCCGGCAAAGACAGCGCGTGATTCTTTGTCAACTACAGCATTGGGTTGTAAATCTAATAACCGCTTCACGGCCAGATTTATAATAAAGATGTAGGGCCAAATTATCTAATCTATTTTGGGCAATAGAATAAACGAGATGAATTGATTTTTCAGATTGATTCAAATGATATATGATTGAACAATTGAGCGATAACGAATCACAAATTGATTAAATTATTGTTAAACTCGCTAATTGATCTCAAATAGCTGATAGACAATCCGAGTAAAAAGATTGAGAAACTAATCTCTCCTCAGTCAATTGACGAAATCTTCACTATTTACTTAATGTCGCATGATGACGACCTCATGAAGTTATCCACCTCAAGCTTTTGTTGGCCCTCCATTGAACGAGACCATGGAGGAATTAACGCAATTTGGATTTATTCATACACATGGTTGGTTGAATAAACTATTTTGTATATACAGTTTTTTTATATTTTCCGCCATAAATTTTTCGTTAACTAATTGAATAAATTACTTTGGTTGCCTCAGGGAAAACTATCAAGATGCTGATTATTGACAGGTCAGAGAATGACAGAACTTGAGCGTCGTGTATGGAGGTGCTGAGGAGGTTCTGGATTGCCGTGCATGCAGCGCTCATTCATTGAGGACGGAATGAATAAATAGAAATAAAAACAAAATGATGAAATGAATAAAATAACCCCCGATTGGAAATAAATTGTGCGTCGAAACGCAAAGGAAATATATTGTAATTATTTCAAATTATAATTGATGACAGTGCTACTAAATGCTATTATGTAAATGTAATTAATGTAAGTTCGGAAAAAGTAATGCTCACTGAGAAGTAAAACAGCATGTATTGATAGCGTTCGGGATTTACTTGCCAATTCGTAATTTAATTTAAATGAAATCGCGGTAAAAACTGTTTGATGAATAAATAATTCTATTTTGTGTAGCAAAATAAATTTATTAATTGTTTGATTAGCCACCAATTTATAGACAGATAGATGATGTCCTGTTCTCCAGATATCAATTCAGTTTAGGACATGGAATACATTATTGAAATTACATGCAAATAAACGAATTCCACTGGATGAATGGCCGCATGATCAATGCATTGGAATGAGAGCCAATCCTTATGAATGAGAGCCAATCCTTCTCATACACATAGAATCAAGCTATTTGTTTTAGAAATAATGTTCAAAATCATGCAAATTATGCATAGGTTTGCATAAAATGTGATAATAGATAGCGATATGGCAGCGGTTGATCCCCCTACAGCACTTTGATAGCCGAAGTATTCGCAGCATTCACATTAATTAAAGTTAATTATGGGAAAGAATGCATACATTTCTCTTCATGAAAATCTCTAAGTTTGTTAGTAAATTATAATAGTTGACAATGAAAAATGAAAATATTATTTTAACTTGTCTTTGTATTGCATGAATGAAGTTGACCATCAATTTTGTTTTAATCGAACCAGTATAGGACTTAACATGGAAACATAAATAACAATTTGCTATTCGGACTTCAAAAAATAAACTAATGGATAAATGGAACACTAAAACTAATAAACTAATGGAACACTAAAACTTACTTAGCATAGCAAGTTTTTGTTGTATTGATTGTCTCTGTTTTATAGCCAGTAGTCTCCACGCCCTTCTACCACACCTTACCAGCGGACGACAACGGACAGCGGACACATGGTCCGGTTATCCGGTTAGGCGTGCCGGGCGTGGGCTCAAAATAAAGAATTCAAGCTTTTATTTTGTCATGTCCTTGGTGACGGTGGATCCTCGCCTGGGGGTGGTTGTGGTGAGCATAAAAGTCTTCTTCAGTCGAAGATTCTCACAGTCTTCTTCAGCAGAGAATCTTTGAAGCACAGCAGCTCTAAAACACGAAATAATGTTCGCTAAACTGGTAAGATTATAACTACATTGGCTGATATTTAGGAAAGTTTTCATGATTTATTTTAAATTTTTTTAGCCTATTCAAGAAGCATACTTTTTGCTATGATCGGAATTCTTACATAAAGTAAACCAGTATAGTTTTTCAGATGTCGAGTCCAATTACGATTCGGAATATAATCTAAAAAAATTGTACTGGAACTATACTTGCATAAGTAATTCCATTGTGCAAAAATAAGAGATCACTTTCCAGCTCGCATGCTCTGGAACGAATTAATTAAGTTTGCGATTGATTAATTAACTATTGCGATTGTTGATAGCTTGATGATTTCGACACCCCATTTTGTGCAGAAATTAAAACTGAAGTGAAACATTCCTTACATGCTTCATGTAATTATGTAATTTGTGTCTGTATCAGCTGGAAGTGGTCGATGATTCTACAATCCCAAACAGACGAGGATCCAAATCTTTTGAGGTAGACAAACTAATTAAACTTTCTTGCTCGGTTGGCGCTAAGCTCAGCCTAAGCCTAAGATATTTCTGGCCCGTATTTAGGACAACATTAAATTTTCGATACGAGAGTTGGCTCTAAAAGACTGAATTGATTTTGAATTCACAATGAATGAAAATGAATTCACAATGCAAATGTTCAACAGTAAATAACGAATATAGGGCCACGTGGGGCAGCGCCCCCCCCCTTTTTTTAAATTAAATTTTTGATGAAGTTTTAATTGAAACGAGGTGGTTCTTTGTTTTGTTTAAAGGTACAACTAATGAGGAATGTATGATATGAATTAGAAGCATATAGAGTTATTCAATTTTTAATGAAACACTATTTTGTAACAAGTGTCAAAATGGGCCCATTGCCCATGGGCTTGGGGCAAGGCGCCCACCCTTGGTCCCTTTACCACAATTGCATATTTTTTGTTTAAAAATGATCAAACAACCCTTTACAGTTAAAAAAAGAAAAATGTATTAAAAAATATGACATTCATTCATTTATTAACAACTCAAAAAATCATATCCTTAGCATGAAAAAATATATCCTTGGCTTATAAAATCTATCACTGACGTAAAGAAAAATATTTCATTGACATAAAAATATATATATCCTTGACTTGAAAAATATATCCTTGCGATAAAAAATTCGTCCTGACATGAAAAAATGTATTCTTGATTAGAAAAAATATATTTAGTTGATCAGAAAAAAACTTCGTTCCAGTTTTGCCCATAATCCAGATATTATGTGCAGAGAATTCGTATCTAATCGTGATTTCAGCTAACTCCATAAAAACTCATCAACTTTTGGCTCATTGGTGTTGGCTGAAATCAACTTTTGGCAAGGCAAGAGTCAATAACTCGAAAAGTGGTCATAAATACGCATAACTAGAAACTAAACCTGCTGCCTTGAGGCATCAAATCGAAAAGTCATGAAATATGAAGTGTGATTGGTAATTCAAAAGCTAGTCATAGTTTTGAAAAGATCATTGAGACAATTCTAATGATGTATAACACAAGATTTCACCATGGGCGCTTTGCCCCGTGACACGCGTGGGCCCGTTGCCCCGCTAGGTATCCTTTCAATTTATATCGTGTCAACATTTTATTTTGAAAGCTAATAGTCTAAACTTAATCTCAAAATTATCCCTATAATTATTACTTTCAAAATATAATTCACCGTAATTTCAAAAGCTTCATCTAAAGTAATCGAAAACAGTTTTATTTAGCAGCAAAAAAACAATTATTTGGGCTGAAACAGTTATCCACAAATATCTTAATAACGCAAACACTTAGCAAAACGTAAATCCGTACACTTCACCCCAGTGAAACTGTCGACCGGCGGTAGAGAACACGGACCAATATCTGCCATACTTAGCGGGAAACCCGCTATGGGCCCATGACCCGCAGTGGGCTAGCTGCCTCATGTTACCCTATCTATTTTCCCTAATTTATGAAAGAATATTTTGAGCGATTAATAATAAATTTTCCGTTACCTTCAACGGTACGAAACAGTATTTTCTTAATTCGAATGTAAAGCCATTTCCAACGTAGAAGTTCAATGCTAAAAATTAAATTGCGATCCCTGGTCAGTTTGCTCTCCTCCTGTTGGTGGTGGTGGCGTTTGCTCGTCCGGACGAGGATGACTTCTATGGCTTCTACAACCCAGTCCGTGAGTGTCATCGAGTTGTTGCACTTGAATTTAATTGCAATATCTTTCGGTAGCAAAAAGTTATATATTGCTTGTAATAGAGGCAAATGAATCGAAACTAAATTAAATTGTGCTTAATATGAAAAAAACACGTCATATTTTAAAGAAAAAATAAAAAGGCCCTAAAATTCTTAATATATTAACTAAGTAGTGGCCTTGAGAATATGTCATTTTTTGCATGTTTATATAAAATAAATGAACACAGAAAACTAGTGACGATCTTCAAGAACCTATCCCAAACCTTTATTCAGTGAAAATATATTTTTTCCATACTGTTAATCAATTAATTAAATTTTGAAATAAAGTTCCTAACACCAGGATTAAACGCTAGACATAATTAATCGCCAGACTGTATTACAAAATGAATGGTAACTAGATATGTGACAGCAAGTTGGTCAAAGTTCAACGTTTTTTTTGCTCAACGAATTACAGAATATTCTTAATCTTCATTGCTCGACTCTCTAAGAGATCACTTGAACATCCGACCATTTTAATAGAGACGGAGACATTAAAGGTGATGTATACATTGTAATATGAATGAATTTCCTCACAATTTCCGGAGCAAAATTAGCCTTCGACCTCAAATACGCACGAGCGGTTTTTCCGACTTCAATATTAATATATCCTGCAAATATTTCAAATCAACCTTTAGTTGCAGGAATAATTATGTTATTCGTGTCAGATCTGCATTGAAGTTAAGATGCTATATCTTCAAATTTGAATAATTATTGTATTTATGAAGCTATTTTATTGCAGAGCCGGTGAGCTCGCCGGTGTTCGCGCCAGCTGTGCAGACCTACTCCACCATCCAATATCCCGCCGTCCGATCCAGCTTCCGATATTACTTCGACGACGACGATGACTAGACTAATTAATTAAGAATGACATCTCTGTTGCTATTCATTTATTAAATGAACTCAAGGCACAGAATTATACATATTATTCTGAAGCCAAGACACATAATTTTACATATTATTCTGAAGCCAAGACACAGAATTTTACATGTTATTCTGAAGGCAAGACACAAAATTTTACATATTATTCTGAAGCCAAGACACAGAATTTTACATGTTATTCTTAAGTCATGGCACAAGTCAGAATGCCTTTTGCATTGAAGTCCATTGAACTAATTTCGCAACAACAAAGCAAATGCAGGAACACTATCTTCATCACAATCACGAGAATAATAAAATGCCACAGTTTATCATTTCAAACCTTATACAGTAAATGATTTGATGTTTTCATCGTTTTAATGAACCCCTTTATTATATGTATGAAAAAATTAAATTACGAGTCTGGAAAATGAATTTCTTAAACTGTGTCGCAAAAAATGGAGCATATAGAACCAAACAGAAAAAGGACGAAAAAAATATGTGATTTGATAAAATGTGAAATAAAACTAAAAACTTAGATTTTTTAACTGCATTAATTACGTTAACTGCAGCAACCAGACTACTGGTTGCTCTGTCAATTAGTTCGAAGAGTGTCTGCTCACAACTGGCGAGGAATGTGCCCCATTTTTTCAGTTAGATGGCTTCATCATTTTTCCAATACTTTGATGAAGAGCTATAGACCTGGCATTATTCTCAATTAGCGAAGTCGTAGCTGCAAGCCACAAATTTTCTACATTTAGTGCTTCAAAACAGGACTGAAAGTGATTGATAGCCTTCTTTACTAGGCTCATCGTGGAGGTTGTTGAATATATTTTCCCTCAGGAGCCACTTCTGACGCGTGTCTGTGCTCGTCAGAAGTCCTATGGGATTTCGCGCTCCTAGGGGGATTGTTCCTGAGCGCCCCACCGTTGAGCTTGCGGTGTCTGACTGCAGGTCTCAGTTGTGGGGTTATGTTATTATGTAGGTAGGATTCCTTACATTTCCCTTCTCTGTCTCTCTCGTGCGGGACGCCGACGTCCCGTGTAAGCGACCTCATGTTCGAGTGTCTTATTTTCTGTTGCTTTTTACCTGTCCCTTCTTTTCACTTCGTCTCTTATGAGATGCTAACGCTGCTTCCTTCGAGCCAGCTTCAGCGGGCTGGACAATTGAGAGCTTCCACCCCTTGTGGGTGATGAATGGTTTTTGATCTGAGAAATTTTCGATGACCGAGACCTTCCACCTCTTTGGCGATGTTCATCTTGACTTTCGGTGCGAGATAGTTAAATAGCTGAAACGCTAGTAAGCATTTGGCCACTAAACTAACTTGTTGAAAATGTGTAAAAATATGAGTTATTTCATTGATATGATGTCGACAAGCCAGCCGGATAGGTGACTGTACCACCTCTCACGAACTACAAATTCCTTGCCAATTGCTCACATTTCTGTATGTGGTGTCAATCACGTCAAGTCGATAAATCACCATCACCAATAAAGTGATGGAGAAATCATATCACTACATCTCGTAGCCAATCTCCTAAAAATTCAATGAAGGCATTTGCCGCGCCGGCTTCATGGCCAAAATAAAGTTTGGGAACGCAGAGTTTTGTCTTTCTCTGTGCTGACGCCTAAATATGTGAAATCTCTTATGATTTTCAGCCACTTTTAATAACTTCTTCAACTATAACTTGATTCACTTCTCATTTTACAGTTATTGACTCCATAGCAAAACTAAACGTAAATACGACTCTAGTTTTTCGGCTAGATCCTGCGATTCCTGATCATGGTTTGATTGTAACTGCTGAGAAGCAACGTATTCCTTGTCTGCCTTTATGACTGAAAGCGTCAAAATAACCGAAATTAAGGACTGCTATTGTTGTTCCGTACTATCTCCAACTGCTGTTACCACATCAAGTGTCTCAATACGTTTTTTGACATTTTTCGACTCTAATACTATTAGGCGCGTAAATTTCACTCGTTCAATATGAACCATTGTTCATTGAGCCCACGCCTTCATTGGAGCTAAGTGAACTCAGTTCATCAGTAAGACATTAAGCCGCAATCATATCGTCTTACATGCATTTGGATAATTTAAATTTCATTTTTGTATCCATTAAGGAACACTGTTTTATATTAATTCAGTTTTGCATCAGTGCACAGAGGAATCTATCAACCTTAACAAATCTTTCAATATGCATTGCTGCAAGCAACAGAAAGAATATAAATAAAGGTTACTTCTTTACTTTCAATTAGGTTCGAAAAATAAATCTTGTTTGGTTTTGATTTCAGAACTAAACTAAACATGCAAGTCAAACTAGCAATAGCCGTTTCAATATTTTGTTTCGATTTTGTTGGCTTATTTGCTTACTCAAAATGGAAAAATTTCTATCGGAAATAAAAAAATTAGCAATGAATGTATTAGAATTACTCGAGCAAAAAATTTTTATCACAAAAAATTCTAATTGATACTAAAAAAGCACCAGAAATCCTCTTTCCATGAGTTTCAATAAACTACATGCTGTCATTTAGTGATGAGAAAACAACTAACCCGTTAGCCACCCTGTCATCACACCATTTCAAACTGCACTGTTGGGTGGAGCATGTATGTAGAGCTCATGCATTCTCATTAATAAAATTAGCTAATTTTTAGCGCATTTTCTCATTCATGGAAAAAATCCCTATTGTGCTCGTCATGTCCGTCCGTCTGTCCGTCTGTACGTGACTTCACGTTTTCGTCGACGAGAAAATGCGCTCTCTGTCACTCCCTGCTTTGAGTACCGAGTTACATGTATTTTTTTATTGTTACTTTGATTTTGACGGTAGATCCTTCCATTTTAAAATTTAATTAATCTAAGCGATGTAATTGGTACAATTTAGAAATAAAATTTCTGTAACGAATTGAACTAATTTAAGAGAAACAAATTCCATCTGAGTGACACGTACAGACAGTATAATGCGTAAATGAGGGCCTATGTGAATTATTATTTACTTCAATATTTTTAAATTCGCCTGTCTAAAGATAAATTAATTATGCAAGATGTGCAGATTGAATTAAACTGAATAGCAAATGTTATCTTAAAAGAAAACATAACCCAAGTAATTCACAGAGACAGTTCTGGAAATAATCAAATAAGCCAACACAGCTTCTGCATGTGCAGAAGCTGTCCTTTGCGCTCATGTACGTTAGCATTTCAACGGCAAGTGATGATTGATTAAACGAAATTATAACGAAATTATATCCTCTGTCAGAAAGTGAAACGCACATCGCATCCAAAATTTCACGTGGAAAGTATTCGTGGTGCAAAACGAATTTCAGTTTAATTATCAGATCAGTCCGCATAGCATCGGCGTGAAAATGAGTATAGCGACACTTAGAAAAAAAGTTGCTGTTGTCTAATGTTCACTCGAATATTGACTATTTTTTAGTACCAGAATTTTTTGTCTTAATAGTGGTATAATTTGTGCAAATTTAATAATCACAAACGTAGGTTGGAGACTGAGTAATAAAGTGACCCACGATGCATGTGAACAAGTGCTACAGTTATAACACATAAGTGAGTATATAAAAGAATGCGAATTTTTGAGGGGATTGTTCAGAAAATCAAATGAGTCTATAGTATTTTCTTTATTAGTAGATCCATTATACAATGAAAACTCCATTATTCACTCCCAACTGCGGCTAATTATTTCGCTCGCAATGAACAAGTGTGTATATGAGCGATTTTTTCAAAAAAGTTTTTGAATAATATCTGAACAACTGAAATTCCATTGATTAGATTAATTTATGGTCTTGATTGTGTGGTGCACACGAGATTCGAACGATTAACAATACCCTACGATGTAGGTGTTATGATAATGAGGATAACAAGTATAGCTTACACCACAAACGTTGTTGTTTCGAGGATTGATGTTCATAAATAAGATAATCACATCGCAAGCTAATCGATCACTATACATATATGCATCCGCGGGAACATTCAGTGTTAAAATTTTGCGCCTCCTGAATAAACAGATTGTTGATAAAATGAAATGCAATAATTTTTGGGCATGTTGAAGAAGTGTAGAAAAACAAATATTATTTGATAGAGAATGGTAAAATCACATATGAGTAACTTATCTTAGATATATACGACAGCCGCAGAAAAATAAAAATTAGTAATTTATTTTCCTTTAATTTTTTAGTTCTTTGTTACGTCTTTATTTTTCCAATGCTTTAATAGAAGCATAATCTATTAACAACGTCATAGAAGCATAATCTATAAGTGCGTGGGAAAGCCTGTTAACATATGTGTTTGGGGTTGAAGCCTGGAACTGTAATAACAGATGTAATATGGAAGTGTCACCACTAATATCTATCGTATACAAGTATTTCGAAGAGCCGCAACATTATTCTAGTTATGGGACCTTGAGGCACACTAAAACTGAATTGTATCACAAAATTGAATTATTCATCGGAAATGTTGATACATTTCTGTCATTGGACAATATTTGAGATTAAAAATTTCTCCAAATTTGAAAACGGGGTTAATTTTTGTTCCAATGATAGTTTGAGCTAGTCTTTCCTACATCAACATTGGTCTATTTAAAGAATTACTATTATGGCTGGGACGACGACTTAATGTAGTTTTTCTCGAATTTCATGGATTATATTATCTTTTTCGAGCAACGTCAGCAAATGTTTGATATTTCAATTGCGGGTTTATCTCCCTATAGGTAGGTATATGTAACTCAAAAATATCACTATAGTTATCGATAACTCTACATTTTGCTGATACTTAAGACCGCCTTCATGATGTCACGCGGACGCCGCCATGAATCTTCACTGCTATCGCGGTCCCTGACAACAAAAAGGCCCGAGTTCTGAGGAGTTGGTCCTTGGGGGTGGCAGCAGGAAGCTTCTCTAACTTCCACTCTTTCAGTAATTCTTAGCACATATTTAGTTTTAATTTCAGGTTCAGCCATAACATGGGATCTGCCTGTTTAGTTATCATTAGAGTGGTTTAATGAGAAAGAAATTACAATTACATAGTCAATGACTATTTTAGTTGAGT